GTGTGTTTATTAAATTGAGGTGTTTGTTGTGTGTTGTATGATAATAGGTACTGTCTCTTCCTACTGGCAAAGGACACTTGGATTTCCGTGTTCCCCTTTGCATGTTGCAGTTCACATTTGGTACAGATTTTTATCTGTATCATGTGTTGTATCTGCTAGCATTTGCATTTATTGACCCAAATGTTATTTTTATGTCATATGCTTTGCTATTGGTTATTATAACATTCTAGTGATGACGTGTCACCTTCATTGAAGTATTTTTATACAACATAATACTACTATACATATCATGTACGATATTGGTTGGTGATCATATGTATATTCGTTTGTAGGTTTCAGGTTCCCAGATAAAGTTGAAGTTCATATTCCATTATCAATTTTCTAAAAAGTCTTCCACCTCAACTCTTCTCCATATCTATCTCTGTCGTTACACGATGCCAGAACGTATATATATCTAACCTTCGGTCTATCAATGTTTCTAATTTGCTCCGCNATAAAGTTGAAGTTCATAATATTCCATTATCAATTTTTTTCTAAAAAGTCTTCCACCTCAACTCTTCTCCATATCTCTGTCGTTACACGATGCCAGAACGTATATCTAACCTTCGGTCTATCAATGTTTCTAATTTTGTCCGTGATACTTGATATCCGTAGGAACGTGTGGGAAAAATTGTACAATGTATTCCGCAAGAGAGACTTCGGGTAGTTACATTTAAGCATACTACAGATCAATCTGGCTGAAACTGCTTCAAACGCTTCAATTGTTGTACATCTGATCGCATATCTACATAACTGGTAATATTAATGTAATGTCGACAACTTGCAACGGGTTGACAGCAACGTCTCCCAATGTGGGAACACTCGATACTTATCAAGGGATTTCATGCTCCTTCTTTTATCATGGATGGTAACAGACGTCTTACCAGGTATATTCTGTCCAATTGCCATATATATCTAGAAACGAAGTCGACTCACCACATTGTTCACGAGTAATCCGAATAGGGCTATCAATCAATTCTCCCGCCGCATTTTTCACTGTAGAAGGGTACATTCCTCCGTAAATTCCCCCATCTTTATATATCACATCACCTAATGTGGGCCCTTCTTTCTTACCATAAGCAGCCGTAAATATGTCATCTATGTATCTCTTGGTGCTAACGGCAAATTGCTCTATAAATTTAAACGGGTAAAGCGGTTCAGTCCCTGTCTTTCGTGACTCTAAATGTTCACTAATCATTTCTTTCAAAAAGTCAAATTCGTGCATAAATGCAAAAATATTTGCCAAATCTGGGGCTGGAGACATTCCCATAAAGCTATTTGCAAAACAAAAGGCGCCCCTATCCGGGCCAATCTTCTTGCTTCATAAAACTATTGGGAATCGTAATGCTACATCTCGATGTCGTTCCGCAGCTTTGCGTTCGGAATACCAGTAGTCTACCCTGAGTTTTCGTACGCACCAGATCATTTACCTGGCAGAGATGGAGGGGTCATTTACGATCGGTGCCGTTCTCGCTTCACCCTTCGAATTGCGTGTCGCGGTGCGCCCAACGCGGGTCAGCCGGTCTCCGGCCTCGGTTTGTTGTTGTTATTTGTTGTTGTTTCTCACATTTAGTTCTATCTAGACTAGATAGACTATTATAGTCCACAATAAATAGGGAGCCCGTGGTCATGAAACCTGGCACATACGGCGCCGCGGGGAAACAAAACAAAAGTAGGGTACAAACCACTCGGAAAAAGATAAAGATGGACTCGTTGTGTCATGTTAAGAAAAAATAAATAAATATATGAGACTGTTGTCTCCAGGTTCGCGTGTGAGCAAGTTCCCTTAGGGATGGGCGGTGTGGATGCACACCGGATCAACCTCTGGTGGAGAGGCTGATGTACGGAACGTTGAGTCGAGTCTGTGTGAGTGAGGCAGGTGGGGATCAACCTTGTGTTGAAGCAAGGTTCAGCATCCAACCTGCACTGACTCTATCTGTGGTAACACCCCGAAGGTAGATCTCCGACAGGTCATCTGACGTCACAATCTACGACAGACTGAGGTTGTTGTTGT